TTGGGGAAAAAAAAAAAAAAAAAAAAAAAAAAAAAAAAAATATTTTATAAGTTATGAAATGAATAATAGTCGATTTTTTTATTTTTTTATTATTTTTTTATTTTTATCTCTTGCAATTCGTAATTCAAATTGAGAGGAGCAATGAGTAATTTACGAGGCTGGGAACGAGGTACTTTTCGATGAATCATAGAGAGACATCATAATTAATAATTTGGTCCCTAAAAGTAGCGGCAATATCATTTCTTTCTTTCTTTTGATTACACATTAAACCTCAAACTATTGGAATCTCTCTAATACATACATCCAGCTGTTTAAGCCCACCAAATTATGTTGTTTTCCACTTATTATCTATTAATTGTATTCTTTCTTAATTCCCAGCCCTTTTTGTTCCGAGTCAAAATTTCAAATTAAGTATAATTTTATTTCATTTCTTTCTTAGGAAAAAAATGATCAATAAATTCTCAATCATAGTGTTGTGACAGGAAAAGAATTTTAATAGTTGTTGCTCGATTTATTAAAAAAGCAATAACATATTGTCATTTTATTTCGATATCATTTCCTTGAATTGCCCAAACAATGACTCGTGTATGGTGAAATCAGGGGCTAATTTAGGGGGCCAAGCCAGCCCCAACTCACTTACTATTTTATGTGGAAATTTTCTGTTACATATTTGTTCGTTTGAAAAGATTTTGTAGTCCAACATTGACTCGTGAAATATAGGATGAACCCTTATAGAGCCTGTTTGAGCCTGATTTTTTCATCCAAAAAATTGATTTTTTGACCGTTATTTCACTATTCCAGCCGTTATATTTGACTTCTTCTCTCACAGGTGGCCACTTTTCTCCTAACGATTAAAAAATCAATTTTCAAAACCACTCCCAAACAGTCTCATAATTATGTGTGGGAAAATTACATTAAAGGCACTCTACCTTGAAATAAAGATGCTCCCCCCAAAGAGCATTAAATGTCAGAATTTATTTGACTAAAAAATATTGATTTAGTTAATTGTGGAGTTAGTTGGTAGCATTTGTTGGCGCATGTCATGTGCCCCAGTAATAGTGCCAATACTTCAACTACCTAAGCCCACACTACCCATTTCATTATCAATCACAATTGCTTAGACTCATTGACCTTCCACATTTTTATTATTTTATTTTAAAATTTTGGATCAATTATATTATTCATATGGGACCTAACCCAATTTAATATCCATTTGGCATGATTTTTTTAAAACTCAAAAACTACTTCAAGTTAAAGAAATTGCTTGTCAACATATTTGATAAATTTTCTGAATTTTTTTTGGAGGAAACAGCTTCCTCGAGAAACTCTTTTAAAGAAATAGAAGCAAAAGTAAAATAGAAATCTTATCAAACGAGTCATTAATGTATGAATATCAAACACAAATAGCTCTACGCCTTTCGGAATGTTACCAAATTCAATATGAGAAAGCACTCTTTAGAATATACGAGAAATGGAATTATGTTTCTTTCTTTTTCATCTATTTATAATGACACGTCTCATATAAATTTTAAACTATCATAAGAATGTGTGTTTATTTTGTTTAAGTGTTTTTTCAATACGTCTATTATATGCAAATTTAATTTAATTTCTTTTATAAAAAATGTACCCTAGTTTTCATAATATATTTCAATAAAAAGCATGCTCTTTGTATAATTTGTTACTTTAATGAATCAAATCATCTAAAAACTTAAATTATAAAAGAGAAATATATTTATTTACTTCACTTTCGTCCTCAGACGGCCGCATGAATTTCTTAATCTATCCTCTTCCGTTCATCGTCAAAGTAAAATATAATTTACTTTTAGTCAGAGTAGATGTCAAAATTCTAAAACTGAAGAAAATTTTGATCAAAATAGTCCTGAGTATCATGTCACTTTCTTTGGCCATGTAATATGATAAGAAGTGGGCCACTAATCATGCAATGTAGAGAAGATTTTTTGGACTACTTCCAGACCTTACTATCATAAATTAATACGGTGGTACTAGTGGTATAGAAGGGTGTACTTAAGCGTGTACACCCCTCTCATATGGGGTGTGAAATTCACCCGAATAAAAAACACTTATTCGGGTGGATCCCACACTCCATATGAGAGAGGTGTACACCCTTAAATACACTCCATTATGTACGACTAGATTAATTCAAATTAATAAGTTGAATTAGATAAGATAAAGATTAATTTTGTTACGTGGTTCTTTTATTTTATTTTATTTTATTTTCAGTCCAAGTGCCAAAAATGCTAAAAGACAATTATGTCCCATATCATGTCAAGAGAGAAGACGATGGGAATTGACATTTTTATAATGTTTAATTTTCAATTTGTGAGTGTCCACATCACATGATTTCAAGTGTCTAGATCAGGTGTATTGGGTTATTCCCAGTGGGAATAATATAATTAAATTGCTTGATAAATGAGGACAATATTCTATGATTATAAAGTGAAAAGGAAAATTAGGGTAGGTAGGTCATAGTGGTCCGTCACATTGTAGTCATTAAAATATTTAACTATGATTAGAGATATACATAACACTGGCTTTGTTTATA